ACAGGATTATCGGCTGTGTTCTTGAAATTCGAAAACGCGTATTTCATCATTATACGTTCACTGGGCTTGCGTACTGTAGGTAAGATTGAACTCAAATGAGTGCAGATTTTAGTTATGTTAACTAAAAATCGAAGCCCTAATTCTTATAAACTTACCTCTCCTTCTAATTCCGGCTGCTTGCAAATCGCCCAAATCATCCATATTGTGGATGAATATTGTGAACCTGATTTTACGCACTTGATTTACCCTGTTGATCGGCGGTTTCGWATATGGATGGAGGTTACAGAATCGGTGTACAATATGGCGGTGAAATGTGCAATTTTTGACCACTTTACCCTTTGAACATTGGTTCATACCCATATCATTTAAAACATTAATTAATTTATTATTTTTTAAATCTCATTTAATAATGACCGTTAGATTAAAAAATGAATGATCAGGATCGGTTAGAATAGTTTGGACAAAAAATTGGGTTAGGATTTGAACCAAACTCTATATATATATATATATATATATATATATATAGAGAGAGAGAGAGAGAGAGAGAGGGAGAGAAATGAGCGATCAAATGAAAACCACCTTCATTTGTACAAACCGTATAAACCATCCTTATACGTCGATTTCATTGTTTAATCTTATGAAATTTTTTCATGAAATTGTTTAATCTTGTGAAATTGTATCGTATAATACTTTTTTTTGATGAATTTGTTTCATATATGGTTATGAAATTGTTTCATATAATATTTAATGAAATTTTAATGAAACTGTTTCATGTATTTCTCTAAGATTAAAATAATGAAGATGATAATATCCATGATTAACACCCTCCACACAAAAAATGGTTAATCAACTTTTCATAATTACAAAAAAATGAACAAAATGAAAAATTATGATTGGTTGAATGAGCTTTTCACGATTTATACAAATTAAATGGTTTTTATTTGAACATCCTTCTGTATATATATATATATATATATATATATATATATATATATATATATATA